TGGCCAAGGAAGCTGCTCTACGCCTTTCCACCGCAGCGTCTCATTCTCCCTATCCTGAGGAGAGTGAGGCGAGAAGGTCTGTCAGTCATCCTAGTGGCTCCGGACTGCGTGGGGGCGCCGTGGTACTCAGAGATGACACAGATGAAGGTGGGCCAGCCCTGGGCGGTTCCCCAGTTCTGGGGGGCGATGTCTCAAGAGGCAGGTGCAATCGGGGCGTTACCCACTCTCGGCCAACCTCTCCAGGCTTGGCTCCTGAGAGGGACAGGCTGAGACAGGGTGGATTGTCTGACAGTGTTATTCAGTCTATCCAGGCAGCTAGAGCTGGATCCACCACAGCCTGTTACAGGCCGAAGTGGCTGGGATTCCAGCGACGGTGTGAGGAGCGGAGAATAGAGCCCCTATCTTGTGAGTTAGGCTCTATGTTTTCCTTCTTACAGTTACTGGTGGACAGACGGCTGGCACATTCAACAGTGAAGGTGTATGCAGCAGCCATCTCGTCCTGCCATGAGGGATTTGGCAGCAGGTCAGCCTTTTCTCAGCCACTAATGTTGCGGTTTTTACGGGGGGTCAGGAGGCTGCGCCCAGTAGGGCACGCCTCCTCCCCACAGTGGGACCTGCCGCTGGTGCTCGAGGCTCTGGTCTCAGAACCATTTGAGCCTCTGGAGCTCTCCTCCCTGAAAGCACTGTCGTGAAAGACAGCTTTGCTTCTTGCCTTAACGTCAGACAAAAGAGTGTCCGAGTTAACTGCTCTGTCGGTGCACCCGAGATGTTTAATGATTCGGGGTGACCAGAGCGGGGTGACATTCAGACCGAACCCCTCCTATGTGCCCAAGGAGTGTGTTCAGGTCGAGGGCTATTTAGTTAGGGGGTTTTAATCTTCCCTCCCATAGTGGGGTGAGGGAGGCTAAACTGCACCTCCTCTGCCCGGTGCGTGCGCTAGCATGTTATGTGGAGCGCACGGCTGCCTTTAGACGCACCGAACAGCTGTTCGTGTGCTTCGGGGGTGGGGTAAATGGAAAAGCTCTGTCCAAGAAACGCCTGGCAGGCTGGCTCTGCGAGTGCATTGCACATGCCTACGGACAAGCGGGGAGAGCCTTCCCCACGGGGGTCCGTGCACACTCTACACGAGCCATGGCTGTGTCAACAGCCTTATTTAACGGTGTGAGTGTGGAGGATATATGCACGGCGGCACCTTCGTCAACACCAGGCCCCTTCATAAAGTTTTATCTCTTGGACATGTCTGACGTAATGCGCTTACTGGTTAGGAGGGAGGGGGGCTGTGGGTATCTGACCCCCTCCCCGGACGTGACGCGCACATGGGCCCATAGGGGCTGGAGCAGTGGCGTGCACAGACATTTATAGGGGCAGGTGCTCAAGAGAAAAAAAAGGGGCACCTTCTGAGTCGTTGTGGCGGTCGCGCCGAAATTGTGCGCTCCGAAATTGTGCGCAAAAATTTGGATTTTGTTAAGTTTCTTTTTGGTTTTTGGTTACTTTATTTCGGTGTTAGGGTTATGTTATTTAATTCTTATTTTTGCCTGATTTTACTGATTTATTATCAAAATGTTTATTATTTTAACATTTATTGTTATTATTCTAAATGACTTAGGGGGGTCCAATCTGAAGCTAGGGGGGGACGAAATACCCCCCCCGGGATTGACGCCCCTGGTGGAACCGCCGGCTGCCTTAGTAGTGTGAGATTTATTAAAGGCACATCTTGTATGTCGTAATTGCATATATATTTATTTCAATAACCATATGCTGTCTGATGCAGATGCCTATCTAATACAAATCAAATAGTAGGCTTACTAGCTTCTACACGCTAAAGCAACTGTAGTCAGGGATGCAAACTCATCAGGTATGAAAAAGGTGACAAGGATCCGAGCCCCCCGACCCCACGGAATATCGGCTTTAAAATTAGGAATAACAGAGGATTTTAGCAGTCAGAACAACTAAAGCAGCAGGTAATAATAACAGAAACGCCAAAGAGTTACATCTAATAGAAATATATAAAAGCATTTATTTTAATTGTGTAGCAGTCAGTTTATAATTTTGGCAGCACTGTTGAGCATTTTGAAAATGTATTTTCATGCCTCTTAGTATTTTTATAATACTTTTCTACTTTCACTTGAGGAACATTTTTAATGCAGGACTTTTACTGTAACAGAGTATTCCTACACTGTGGTACTTCTACTTTTACTCAAGTACAAGATCTGAGTACTTCTACTTTTATTAAGTACAATATCTGAGTACTTCTACTAAAGTACAAGATCTGAGTACTTCTACTTTTACTCAAGTACAAGATCTGAGTACTTCTACTTTTACTCAAGTACAAGATCTGAGTACTTCTACTTTTATTAAGTACAAGATCTGAGTACTTCTACTAAAGTACAAGATCTGAGTACTTCTACTTTTACTCTAGTACAATCTCTATACTTATACCACCTCTGTTTATAGCCTATGAAAAAAACTATTAGAAAACGAAGGCTAAAGCTAACGTTAGCAGATAGTGACAATGATATTGCGACAGAAAAACTTTTCAGTTCACATCACGCTCTGCCGCTCTGCTCTGAACACCTGAACGGCCCGTTCTAACAGCTGTTCACCAGCGGTGCAGTCTGTGCCACAGTGACTCTGCACAGTTAACGAACGCACCGTAGCTAATGTAGCTGACCCTCATCCCGGAGCAGCAGAGTTCAGCCGACCCGACAGGCAAGAAGACTCGAGCACACAGCTCGCGCTTCATATATTAAAAAATAACACCATGCGCGTCATGATGGCACATAACAGCTCGCGACCGCAGATTATTTTGGCGATTAGATAAAATGTAAATTATATTTGACGCAACTTTAGTTACATTTCCATGACTTTTCCGAAACTTTGGGAAAAATATTGTTTTCCATAACTTTTCCAGGGCCTGGAATTTGCATTTTGAATTTCCATGACTTTTCCAGGTTTTCAATGACCGTACGGTACGAACCCTGTATAGTTTAGTTTGGCATCTGATTTAGGGGATTAAACAATACACTCGTTGTATTTGTTACCTGGTGGTTACTTACTTGGTCGTCACTAGGGCACTTTTAATCGTGTTGCTGCGTGCTGCTGCACCACACACCCGCCGTGGCCTGCCTGACTGACTGAGCGTCCACACAGCAGCGTGCGTTGATGCTTGGAGGTGGGCGTATCTGAAGCTTGGGGATTTTTTGCGAGCAACGCGACCAACAACCAATCACATGAATCTCCTGCCCCCGACATACAAAGCAATAGCAATGTTAAAACGAAGTAAACTGGATATAAAATCCCCAAACAGGCGAAAACCTACAAGATTCACCCACTGTCTCTGCCACCTCCCTCCATGCCTCGCTCCTCCGGTTTGTATCCCGGTAGATCAACAGAGACTGATCATACAGCACCGGGTGATTCACTACCGCTATAATGAATTTTCCCTCCATTTTTTTGAATATGAGGAAATGACCTGCGTAGTCTCTCCCAGCATACACGCGGTTTGATTGGCTAGTGCTTGTACTGGCAGATTTGCATAAACGGGATTTCATTGGCTGACGCCTCCGTCGAGGCGTCAAAAGTTGAACATTGCTCAACTTTTGACGCCAGCTACGCCAGCAACGCTCCACGTCACTTCCCAAAATGCAGTTCGGCTAAAAGTGACGTCACCCCATTCAAAGTGAATGGGCAGAAGCGTTGGAAGCTTCAACGCACGCCGCTGTGTGGACGGGCCGTTAGTGACTGACTGTCAGCTCTGCGCGCTGCGCGTTCACGTTGAGAGCAGGGAAGGGAGGGGCTGCAGCCAGGGCACGTACGGGAGTGCCACGGGGCACGCGTGGGGATGTCTGACAAAATTACAACGCGCATTTGGGGCATTGTTGTATATATTAGAAGCTTTTAATCCAGAATTGATCTGAAAAAAATTGATTTGAAAAATTTAAACTGTAAAAAACGAACTTTCAAAAGGGCACATTGCTGTCCAGAGGGCAAAACGGGCAGGTGCTCAAGCACTACCTAGAGTCTATGTGTGCACGTCTCTGGGCTGGAGGACTCAGCCGCAGCCTCTTTTCTCTCCGCTGTTGCGACCGAGGGAGAGGTGAGTGAGGCACAGCGGCCGCTAACCAGAAAGCCGGTCAGAAACAGTGAGATGGAACAGTGTTGTTGTGGGACGACAGCGCGTGAGAGATATAACGAGGGGTTACTTATGGTAACCCTTGTTATATTAACACAGGCGGAGCCCTCTACCTCTGGGGCCCTGTCTGTCCTATGCTGCTTGCTGAAGAGAAGTAAAGGATGGCAGTGAGGAGGCGAGGCCTCCTTTTATGCGGTGAGATGCGCATGCATTGAGGTAGGCCCACCCAGGGGCCGGCGAAAGTCTCAGTGAATGAATGCTTGCATGATAGGATCGAGGGCAGTACCCATAGAGTCCAGTAGAGGGCTCCGCCTGTGTTTATATAACAAGGGTTACCATACGTAACCCCTCGTTTTCACCACATCTAAAGAATGAGTGCAGAACATTTGATTGATTGATGAAGTGTGCCGATTCCTCCGCTTTCTTTGCTATCATGATAAACATCAGCGCTGGTAGTCGGGAGGAAGTTTGGTTCAAACTTTGTAATGTGATTGATTTGCATTCACTGTTTTTACGTGTGAAGGTTTCCAGAATAATTGATCAAGTTAACAGTCCTTATTTTGACGTTTGAAAGTTTAGTAGATTCACTTTTACTGTGTTTTTTTTGTTATTCAATGTCATGGGGTTGAAGTCTATCCCAGCATGCAGTCGGTCAAATTGACCCTCAGGGCAACCTCGGGGATAGGCAAGCTGTTAACAGTGGAAATACTTTTTACTGAGCTTTGCTACTGAGCTTTGTTTCTTCCCTTGAGTTGGAAAAAAAAACTAGAACAGCAGCAGGGTGTGTTTTTTCTGTACTTTTCCATTTTCTACCGTGGAGTAACTTTTAACAACATGCACTTAGACAGAAAGGTGACGATCAACGTGGTTTCTCGCTGCTGTTTGTTTCACTGTAAAACTTTATTTTGATCAAATTAAACAACCTGGTAATACATCATATACGGACGGTAGACTGTCACAGCGAGTTTCACACCTCCAAAATGACATTAAAAAACAGTGAAGCTGACATATAGATTTTTTCCCCTCCAAGATTATCATCATGGTGTCCTATACATATTTGGTACAAAAAGAATGAATTACGACATAAAGAAATATAAATGTGGACACTTTTGTTTTAAGTCTTTAAAGCAGACCACAGTCACAAAACACAACTGGAACAAACTGATGATTTTACTGGAACCGCCAAAACACACGATACACACTCCTGAAATCAACTCAGGATAGCAACAAGTCAGAATCAGTACATGATCCTGACTTCATACGGTCACCCCTTGATTGAAATATGTTATTTTAGCACAGCACCGAGGTGGAATGTTGAGATTTTGACCTTTTGGCTTCAGTGGTACTTTGACATCAATGCAAATGCTGAATGTGCAGCCTTCTAGTGTCATTTATTACAACATTAAACAACAACACTTCATGTGTCAAAGCCAGACACAAGGGTGTTCTGAATACAACTGAGCAAATAAATCAGTACATGAGCAAAGCAGTTGTTATTTTTTTCTTTCTCAGACACAGCGAGTGAAAACATTGGAGAAAGCAGGTAGAAGCAGGACATAATATAGAGTTGAAAATAAGGTGACCAGTCATTGTAGGACATTCAAGCTGCAATGCTGACTGTGAAGTAGAGCTGTCACTTTGTCCATTTGTTCAAATGACTTTGAATCAACCCATAGAGGATTAGTTGTATGTCTCGATAATGTAAGTGTAAGGCAGTTCCATCAAACCTGCTTGAGCACGTTACCTATCACAAGAGTTGGTTTCATGATTATCTGCTTAGCACATTTTGTAAGTTACCTACAGTATTGTCTGTGTGAGACCTTCATTTATTGCTTTGTTGGTAATTAGGAGTTATCAGAGCTTTAAAGGAGCTGGAAGGTAGTTTCAACATGCATTTGAAATATTAATCTCTTGGTCACCTCTTGGATTCCTTCTAAAGCATTAGCTAGCTGCGTTAGCTAACAGATTGAGTGTCGCAGATAGAAAGCATCTTAGTTTTCATTTGAATTGTTAGTGTGTGTTTGTGTCAACCTGATGCATATGAATGAATATTCTCTTTTCTTTAATTGATGTCTGGTCTCCACCAACTCCTGAATAAATGTTGCTCTCTTCGGCAGCAAAAAGCTCCACATAAGGTCAATGAGAGCTTTGAGACTCAATCATAACAGTAATACTGCAGGCCTTAGACTCAAAAAGTATTCTCAATATGATAGTGACAGCTCTACTGTGTAGGCAGTGATTCCCCAAGTCCTTCCTGTCAATATTAAACAAGTTCTTAATGAAAATATATATTTTTTAAGATTGATCAACAGACTTTCTGTAGCTATCTGAAATGTCATTCCGTTATAGAAAAAAAAGTATATGTATAGAACTTAGTACAGTTCAACCACATTTCTGACAAACTGAACACTTACTCGAGAAAATCTAGAGATTATGCCAGGTACATTTACCTTCTTCATGTGTGCGGCACACAAAGAAAATCAATCAAAAGAAAATCAGTGCATTGAGTCATATGAGTTGTCCTCTTTTTACTCTGTGTCCCGAAGAAGGCGATTTTCAAGCGAGGATCCTTCACAATGGCTCCTCTGGAATGGTCCTTTTTTACAAGACAGTAAAAAATAAAGAAAGCAATCATCAAGAGTCATTAGACCCCTTCAGTCTCAGCCAACCTGCAGGCACCCAGCCTGAAGGGCAGCAGAAGGGCACTTAGTCAAAAAAAAGAAAAAACACCTAAATTACCCTAACTTGTCTTCCACACACTTTTCACTTCATACCCGTAGAGGTAAGTGTGTGTGGTCCGTCCTGAAATAACTACACGGGGGTTATGTTCACTGACCTGGTTACCAACACTTTCCTCAATCTATTTTCCCTTGTTCACCACAATAAACACTCAGGAGCCTGAAAGTATTTTAAGTTCAATTATATACAAAATACAGTCCAATTTTGATTCTCCACTGTTTAATTTACATTTCTTTATCCATTAGTCCACCTCTCTAAAATCAGATATAGGACTTTAGTTCCCTGTTGACTTGGTTAGCTCCATTTTTAGATCCATGAGCAGGTAAAATAGGTAAGGATCCAGTGGCATTATTCGATATCCCATTAATTAACATATGCCAGCACATCTGTTCCTTCACCATGTGGATTGTGTCCATTGTATGTTTTAAAAGTTCTCAGATTTCCTTAAAGCTCATTAATAATGTTCATGATCTCTAATATTGAGTTTGTGGCAGTAAGACGTTGCTCTCCTCGCCCCTTATCGGTCAAAATCTCTCCTGAAGCAGGGAAGGGAGTGTGTGTTTGTGGTGTGTTAGTTATGAGAAGTCACTGTCGTCGGCCCCGTAGAGGTCAGCTAGTTTCCTGAACCGGGGCCCCCAGTCACTCAGGTAGTGGTAGTCCTGCTCCCCCTCAGAGGACGCTGAGCCCAGTGAGCTCAGGGACTCTGCCACAGAGCCCGCCCCCTCGTAGGCGTAGGTGGCCAGCGAATCGTAGGGCGGTGCTGTGGGGTTACAGTCGTTCTCCATTACCCTCTGATTGATGAACTCGCAAACGTCCCCGTTGTCCCGTGACGCCATGCTGACCGGCGGCATGATGAGGCCGGATGTGGCGGGGGCGGGGCGGCGGTGAGGCGGGTAAAGCAGGGTATCGGTGGGGATGATGTCCCGCCGCTGTTTGGCCGACTCCTCTAAGGCGGCGGCTGCGTCCGGGTGTCGCAGCGCTCCGATGTCGAAGGCCTGCGTGTCCTCCTCGCCGCCGCCCTCGTCGTTGTAGCTCACCACGTTGTCCCGGACGTCCTCCTTGGAGATGATGAGGGGCTCCTGCTTTCTTTGGCGCTTCAACGCTGTGAACAGAACCACGATCACTGAAAAGACAACAGAAGAAACATAGGATTAGATCAGGGGTGTCAAACATACGCAATTTTTACACTTAGGAGCTTAAGTTCAAAAGAGTTTGGTTTGGTAGAACCCTACTGTTCATGCATTGCCACAACTTTATATATTCTGTATGTACAGTTCAGGTGGTCAGGATTACTACACAGAAATGAATGTACATTTAAAATACTTTCTATATTTTGACAAGTTGTTTTGATCATTAAAGGGGACCTATCATGCAAAATGCACTTTTCTACGTCTTTGATACATGAATATGTGTCCCCGGTGTGTCAGGGAACTCACCAAGTGTCAGAAAACACAACCCTCTCTCTTTTCCTCCATACCCAAATCTCTAAAAACGGGCCTGCAACGGATCTGATACAGACTGATCCAGATTTGAAATTGTTCTGAAGTCAGAAACGGGGAGCTCCGCCTATATGGCCAACTCTCCACCTATCAGGGGAATGGGGGGTTGGGCCACGGCCATTGCCGCTCGAAAGCGCTGGAGACGCTGTAGTACATATGCCAGGCCTGTAAGTGGCAATGTAGTCTGCCACAAAAGCAGCGAAGAAGACTTCCCGCGCATGGTTGTCATGGTTGCCATGGTTTGCCCTTCTGTTTATTATTTTTCTCCCTCCCCGAGGCAAGCGTTTGCTCCTGCTGCTGTAATTCAATGCAATCCCTCCCCGTCGAGGCAAGCACTGTAATTCTCTCCGGTAGTCCACCAGCAGATGACAAACACCCACTTCTCCGCCTCTTCCAAGGAACGAGGGGACCGTGCGGCAGAGTTTCAGTTCGATTTGTTTCCGCCGCTCAACATGTCCGTTAAAGTTTAAATCTTCCGGACAAAATTAGAAAAGTGCCGGACAAAAGTCTTCTTTGTTATTTCTTAAGCTTTTTTTTCTTTTTGTCCCCCTCTTCTGAGAGCCCAGCAGCTGATCTCAAAGCACGCTCCCCTCTCCTGCAGGGGTCGTGGTCAGCTGCAGCTCATTTGCATTAAAGCTATGTCACAGAATCAGCCCCTGCAAAAACGGGGCTGGAAAGAGCAAATAGAGTGAAATGAGGCATGGCTAAAATGCATGATCTGTTTGGTATTTTGAAAAAAAAACTTTGCAGACATGTTTTATATAAGTATGGCCCTACAATATATGTTTCAAATATAGCATGATAGGTCCACTTTAAGTAAAATACTATATTGCTCAGTTCCAGATACCGGTGACTAAATGTTTTGTGCCTTTGTAGATACACTAGGATCTGTAATACACATGTGTAAATGATCAACTGAGGCATAATATTGTTGAAATTGCACTTATTTTTCTTAAGAAATGTCAGGTTGTTCATAATATTTTGTAAAAAGGTAGCTCATTAAATGTGAACATTTTCAGAATCTACCTTTTTGCACTTAAACAAAGGGAAGGAGTTAGAGTTGTCGTTATTTAGAGGTTATACCGGTTCGGCCGCTTGAGATCAAATTGCACTGTATGTGGCCCCTGAACTAAAATTAGTTTGACTAGATCCTCTCGCAGTGAACATACATTAATAAAGACAGATGTTAAATAATCGTTTTTCCCCTTCTATGTAGCTTTGTTTGTATTGACCATGACTACATTGAAGTTAATGGCTCAGGTCTGGAATCGGTATCAAGGCTCCAATCACTTTTATACACCGCCCTTTGATTATTTCATTTTGTCACGTTGTGTGACTCATTGTTTGTTTTTACCACAGATCCAGAACCTTTTTAAACCACCCTTTGGTTCACTTTTGTTTGTGGTAATTTTACGGAAGTTACTACTGTAAAATGAGCTTCCAGTTTCAGAGGCGTGTGATTGGAGGTCGTCTGGTTGCCTCTCCCTTGCATCAATGGTCATTTACATAATGTGGAACCTTTTTCATCTTTCCTATGTTATACCATGGAGTCTTCATGTTTTCAATAATGAAAATCCATGCTCTGGGAGAAATTGATTACATGTTACATGATTATGTGATCGGGATTCAAAAATGTATCCCCTTATAGTTACATAAAAAGGACGTAATCAGAGTAAACGTTTTTTAAAGTAGAGATTACTAGCAGAATACAATGTTACAATTCACTTTAAAATAAAGATATATTATATGTAGACGTACTACCTGAATTTTCTTTTGGTTTTCATTCTGGCTACTTTAATTCCTTGTTATTCAAAATATATATATATTTGAAATGCAGTAGCTGAAAAACAGATTTAATTTAATTCTGTACGCCTAGCTCATCATTTCAGAAGACACATTTGTTTTTGTTACAAACAGAAATAGACAGCGTGGGTAAAATGTCACGAAGCATTCTCTTTCAAAAACGATTTGTCTATAAACAGTGATTGTTACAATACATTTGAAAATAAAGATCAATATATTACAGGTCCACATACTGCCTGAAGTTCAGTTTTTGGTTTTCATTTAAATATATTTCTTTAAATGGTGGACACCAGTTTTATTATTCAAAAATACTGTCTCTGCTTTTAATTCATGTATTGAACTAAAACAGTATTTGTTATATTTACTATTCTGTAGGCCTAACCTATGATTTAAGACAACGTTTTATACTTAATACATTGGTTTCTTTTCTATATTAAGGTTACCTAAATACACTGAAGTACATTTATATTTAGCTCACCCAAAAGTAACGGAAAGTTATCAGGTTACATTACTTTTATATTGTGATACTTGGATTTCGCTATTGAATATATATTTGTAACAGTTAACTAGTAATTGTAAACACATACATGTTTTAATTAACCTTCTGTGATGCCCCTGTGGGGTCATCTGGAGAGGGTGTGGCTGTGCTGCATCCAGCCGCATTGATTGCAGTAACTCAGGGCACCTGGGTCTGGTGCCCTGCAGCTATTTAAAGCCTCTGCTCCCCTCTGTCTCCCCTACAGGCACCTGCTTTTGGTTGAGTATGTTCAGTTGCTTCACTTTGTGCACTTCAACACTCTCACACTCATACATGTCCATGCAATCCTCACCCTGCACTTACACTACTGATACCACTGGCATCCACACCTCATGCTTCATTTGGTTTAGCACTTAATTAATTTGGCTAATTTGGACCACTTGCTTTAATAAACATCTTTTGTTAAACCATTGATATGGTGCTTCTCCTCTTTGTTGTGGCCTTTTGAGCCAGGTCAGGGGCCGGTTCTAGGGGGGGGGGCAGGCAGTGCCCCCCTAACACTGACCTCTGACCCCCCTGTGGCCCCCCTAAAAATTAAAGTGAAAAAAATGTATGATTTATTACACGATTTATTGAATGACGGAATAGACGGAACTAACATTACATTACATTACATTGCATTTAGCTGACGCTTTTATCCAAAGCGACTTACAATAAGTACATTCGACCAGGAAGACACAACCTTGATGAAAACAGAATCATATAAGTACATCAGGTTTCATAGAGCCAAACATTTCAAGTGCTACTCAACTGGCTTTAGGTAAGCCAGTCCTTTATTAGTATAAAAGTGCTTCGTTAATAGTTCTATCGCTCGAAGTGGAGTCGAAGAGATGAGTTTTCAGTTTGCGCCGGAAGATGTGCAAGCTATCTGCCGTCCATTGTCAATGGGGAGCTCATTCCACCATCCTGGAGCCAGGACAGCAAACCCACGTGTTTTCGCCGATGGGAACTTGGGTCCCCCTCGCAGCGAGGGTGGCAGCGAGTCGTTTGGCTGATGCAGAGCGTAGTGCACGCGCTGGGGTGTACGGTTTAACCATGTCCTGGATGTACGAAGGGCCAGATCCATTCGCAGCATGGTAAGCAAGTACCAGTGTCTTGAAGTGGATTCTAGCAGTTACTGGAAGCCAGTGAAGGGAGCGGAGGAGCAGAGTGGTATGGGAAAATTTAGGAAGGTTGAAGACCAGACGAGCCGCTGCATTCTGGGGTGAGCTGCAGAGGTCGGATGGCACATGCAGGTAGACCAGCCAGGAGGGAGTTGCAGTAGTCTAGGCGTGAGATGACGAGAGCCTGGACCAGAACCTGAGTCGCTTTCTGTGTCAGCTGGGGACGTATCTTCCTGATGTTGTAAAGCGTGTATCTGCAGCAACGGGTTGTAGCAGCGATGTTTGCAGTGAAGGACAGGTTGTTATCTAGGGTCACACCCAGATTCCTTGCAGTCTGAGTCGGGGAAACAACTGAGGTGCCGATGTTGATTGTTAGGTCAAGAGTGGGACAATCTTTTCCCGGAAGGAAGAGCAGCTCAGTCTTGTCAAGGTTGAGCTTGAGGTGATGAGCAGACATCCACTGAGTGATGTCAGCTAGACAAGCAGAGATGCGTTGCAACGACCTGGGTCTCTGAGCGGGGGAAAGGACAGAATTAATTGGGTGTCGTCAGCGTAGCAGTGGTAAGAAAAACCATGCGGGCTAATGACTGATCCGAGCGAGTCGTTATTCGTCATTCTAGTCGGACCCATTAGAGCGGTGCACTCAGGGCCCCTTAGAGCGGTTGCACTCACTTTCACTGTCCGGCTGAAGCGCGCGAAAAACAAACACTTTTCATCTCGGATCATCAGAGGCTGTTGCATCCAAGAAAGACTGATTGAAACCTACGTTTCGAGAGACTACCACGATAATTGAAGGTGAGTTAAACTATTGTATCCGTGTAATTGTAGATGTAAAGTAGAGATGTAACTGTTCATTGCCTTTATTTTTATATAAATATGGTGTGAGTGCAAACATTGCACTATAACTTAAGCTGAAGCTAACAGTAATAACTATAAGATATATCTGAAATAAATAAGTGTACTGAAACAAATACCAGAGGTGGGAGTAAGTCCTACATGTGCAAGTCATGATCAAGTCTCAAGTCTTGACCTACAAGTATCAAGCAAGTCCCAAGTCACTGTGATGAGAGTCAAGCAAGTCAAGTTAAGTCATTGCTCAGGTCAAGCAAGTCAAGTCAAGTCATACGAAATTCTGATGAATGAGCCCAGTTTCCGCATTTAAATCAGTTAAAAGACAGTG